TAATTTATCTGCATGGAAAGAGTAAAAAAAAAGCACCGTGTAGGTGCGTCATGTATAATTTCTTCTTATCAATTCGGGCGTTGGGTGGGTATACGCTTGGTTACACTCGAGAGTAACGCACGCGACGTACTCTCGTTACACCTGCAAAAGAGAAGAAAAATAGTAATAATAATAATAAGGTACCACCAACATCTTTGCGTGCACTGAACGCGTCAGACTGTAAACTATTATATTATAATCACGCTGACAGTTGGTTGACTCGCTGTACGGTGTTGTTGGTATCATATTTATAGGTATAGCGGCCCTGTACTTCGCGCGCTCCCGTGAGTACATAATCATCATAATGATTCAAGTATAAGAGAGAGAGAGAGAGAGAGTTGCATAACGCGAGAATACGGTACAGTGGTGATGCATTTACGGGTTTACCTGTACATGTACATGCGCTTCCTCACTTGTCGCAGGTGTGTCATCGTCGCACACATGCTCTTCACGATCGGTATAATACTATACACGGTGCAGTGCTCTGCTCTACATTGATTCTTTTTTTTTTTTTTTTTCCTATTTCCCTCTTGGTGAAAACGTCGCGTCAAAGGAGGCGCGAGTATATAAAAAAAGATAGCTTTTCTCGGGTATGCATTTATTCCTTGAAAGTAAACTGCTCTCGAACTCCCCTATACACTATGCTCTAATACTAAATTGGACGCGTTCGGGGAATAACCTTGTAACGTAAGTATAACGCATACTAATAAAAATACAATTTCATTAATGTAATCAAAGTGTGGATAATCGATGAAATACCGATGTATGAAAGGTGATCCCGCGCTCGTCAAAGAAAAAGTCAGATACCGCCCGTCAGGGGTGGCCGATTAAAAACACCAGACATGCACCTGCACCGCCGTTGCAGACGTGCTCAATTGGTCCAATTTTTTGTTGTCTCCTGCATAACGAGACGGTGACAATATTGCAACACATACAATTATACAAACTGGAGGGCGAGCAAAGAGAAGGGAAGAGTTGAGCTTCGCGGAGAAATACGTAAGAGGATGGGAGTCTTTCAATGGTACACGTGCTCATATAAATTATAAATAAGTACCCGCGCGTAGGAGGTTCGGGGGGGGGGGGTTGGCTCGTTTTGGCGCAACCGATTGCACCGTCCGATCATTTATTTTTTGTAACCATTATACAGAGCTGCGTTACTCTCGGTTACGTGATCGTACGGGAGATTTTCAATGCTTCACGTCTCATTTTATCGCACCCATCCATACACGGGATATTATCTAATCTTCAACACGAGATATAGATGCAAACGGGGTAATTGTAAGGATTTGTAAATAAATTATGCCGTGGACCGTTGATTTGACGTCTCGGACTTACATTCACTGTGATTATACGTGTGAAATAAAGTAAAGCTCAGCTAAAATTTAGCGCTCGATTCCAAATGACGGTGCAAAAGACGCGACACGTGTGCGTAACTTTTTTTCTTTTTTTCTTTTCCTCGTGAAAACGCGCATGGATACATATATAGGAGGAAATGACTCCATAGTCGACGAGAAAAACCATGTAATCTCGCAGTACTGCAAGTAAAACAATCACAAGTGTCGGGTCGGATCGAGTGATCGAAAGAAAAAGGAGGAAGAAAAAAAAAAAACACGAGCATTGGAGTGGAAATGCAAGAGCGAACCGAGGAATAATTAAAAGCGATTTAAGAGCTGCGCGTATAGGATGGTATCTTCCTCTTCGTTATGTACACCGATAACGACGCGAGTCAGTATATGGAAACCTTCGACGGCGACTATACACGTGATGCGTTGAGCGCGAGGGATAAGAGAGGGACTCTTGATGGTAGTTAGCTCTACTGCGCGTCAAAGGGAGACTATATAATCCTCGGCCGGGGTTTTTCTCACGCGAGATTAATTTTAGTTCCCCCTTGTCTTTTTTGTTTCTCGAAACGAAAAAAAAAAAAAAAAAAATTAAAAAACCTCGCAAGTATAGATAGCAAAAGTCTATTGCTCGTCCCCGCTGCGTGTTTTAGTCCTGCGTCGAGCGAATAATCGACGGTGTTGGTATACGGTTATCATTATGGGCCGCTCGTCAATTAGACCACCTTCGGTGCAGCCGCAGGCACACGATGGTTGGCTGAAATTAGCGTAATTGACCGTTTGCCCGTACATGTGATAAGTAACACCAAGCGAGCGATTGATTGGTGATAACAATGTTTGCAAAGTGTCTTGCTATGTATATCTCTCGACACGATCTGCGTGTATACCTACATACAGGTGGGACGGCCGCGATGATGGATATATTCATTTACCATGTGCTTGTAACGTGATCGGTGCAACGACATACATTATATATTATACACCCATAGGTAATAGGCGAAACGGGATAAGTCACGTGATGTTATATCGATCGTGTTTATCGTTAGGGAGTTTTGTCGACGACGCGTGGAAGAAAGGCCGGTGATAACAAGCCACACGAGAGACGATCGCGTGTTGTTTTATTTGTCGAGAGACGAGAGACGTCTTTGTTGGGCTGTTTTTTTTTTTTTTCTTTCAAGAACGGCCCATTTTTGTTTGGAGGAAAAAAAAAGTGTGCCGTTTGTCAAGAGCGAGATATCGCGTTTGAATAAATTACATATACGCGTAAATCATGGTACTTTGCAACGTCGCGAAGTAACAACTCGTTACGCGTGAATTAAATTATGAATCCCGAGCCGCATGAGTTTCCGTTTGAGAAATGAGGAAAGAGGATGCATAAATATATGAAAAGGCAGAAAAAAATAAATTTTTTTGAGACGTGTTCAGCAACGTAAACGTATTCCCGTGAACGGTATGAAAAGAAAAAGTTTTTTTTGCTAAAAATTTATTTTCAGAGCTGCGTGTGAATTAAAAATCTGCCGTAAACGTAAAAACTTACTGCGGTATATTATGCGTGGAAAATCAAATTCATGTAGGTCGCTTATTTTTTTGTATAACTTTTTGCCGCCGCATCGACGCAACGTATACATACACAGCGGCGCTACATCCTTTTAATTCATAACCACGTGTATATATATTGCTTCTCTCTTGCATGCACACACTTAGCATTCATACGCAATATTATATATCAACGGCTACTACCAAAAAAACGCTCAGTCTAATAATTTTTTTTTAAAATTTTTTATTTTGTTGTTTATAGAAGCCGTTGATGTATTAATTGTATCATGAGCTGTGGTATAATTCAATTTTATCAAGCGCTGCGGTATGGATTTATGATGTTTCGATTAATTTTAGAGACTTATGTACAGTGCTTATATTTTTCGCGCTATTAAGATAACGTTTATCGCGGTGTCTTTTCATATTACAGCATCTGGGAGCTGTTTTTTTTTTTTTTTTTTTCGCAATAAGTGTGCATCAATTTACATTTTGTTTTAATTGTGAATGACGCTTCTTTTTTTCCTCATCTCAGTGGCGCGTGCAGATATTTAATGTTCTGTTCAGCAACCGACTTAGATACCATACATGCATGTAATTATGTACCGCGTACAAAGCATGAATCTACTCACGATAAGTTTTACTCTCTTATTATTGTTATGTTACCCGATGTAAGTTATATCAGAAATTCTTGAAACAATAATAACGAGCAATTAGCGGGCTGCGATTTCGCAAAACTTATTTGCAGCTCCGAGACAAATAAGAACGATATTATCTCGCAATAAAAAAAAAAAGAAAACCACGCTCGTTTTTACCTTAGATCGAGGAAAGATTTACAGGTGAGCAGCAACTAAAGAAACGCTGGTTGCAATACACCAAAAGCCTCGTTAACTTTAGAGGAAAAAAGACACACTTTTGTCCGTGCATCGATAATTCAGCACAGACCGAGCCATCACCGCAAGGGGACGCGACCCAACCGCGATCTCCGATCTCCATTGGCCCTTCTCTCGAAAGGCTCTCGGTGCTCCCGATCAAATTCACCACTGCGAGTTATGGTAACCAGCTTTGGGCACCTCGGACTTTCGAGGGATCTCTCTTTCAGCTCAGCCGGTAGACATTTGGCTTTTTCCAGCGATGGATACTATATATATCGGTGTTTGTGCCGCGAAAGTGCTCCGTACGCGCTCGACTGGAGCGGTAAATTCGAGTTTAGTGAAAATCATTGAGTTAGATCCCTTTTTTAGTGCGAAAGTTTGGAAAATGACCAATGACGAATGGTATATATCTTTAAATGCCTCATGAAATGTCACTCGGAGGGTACAAAAAGTTGGCTCGCCCGCTCATTATGATGCAGGACCGAGTCAAATTACTGCAACTATATATAACTCCATGAACAACTGTTGTACCATAAATTTGTTAGCGGAGGGAAGCTCTTCCCTCTCTATTAGCCGCCCGCATGTTAATTACTATACCCATATTAGGTACTCCGGAGCAGAGACTCTAAACTGCGGGTACACGTTAGCGTCAACTTTGATCAAATCAGCCGAGCAAGGGTGCGTTTGACACGAGGTTCTTCCTTCGAAGCTAAAATAAATACACCGACGTTCAACAAACATTATTTCCTCGTTGAAACGTAAAAATGTACTTGAATGATAAATACTTACCTATATACACGCTGCGCCCAAACTTTCGCAAGTATATTACTTATACGGTCGAGAATAAATATAAATAAAAGTAAAAGGCTGTGTGGCTCTTTGTGCGTTGCTCGCGTTGGCGATGGCAAAGCGTGGCAATGAATCACATACGAGTTTCCAAGGTTTTGAATTATAATATCCAGTCCGAATCCGTCCGGCTGCCCATACATTTTACACTTATATATACCACCTATACACTACCATTATATATATATACATACTATATGGGTGCACGTGCTCCATTGTATTCTCTGTTGAGTTATATATGCGTGCGAAACACACGAGCCACGCTTGAGTTCATATATATATGTATACATTTATATGACACTTTGAACGAAATTACACCCGATTTGGCGCGTACTAAACATACCTCGTTGTTTTTTCTATGTTCCAGATAAGCCCGAGCATCTTCCTCCAGCATCCACTTGTTTGCCCGACGGTAAGTTTTTAACCTTTCAACTTTCGAGTTTACGATATATTGGTCCCGGTATGAGAAAAAAAAAAAAAAAAAAAAAAAACGCCCCTCGAATACTTTGTGGGTATTTCTTCAACGCCTCGCGAACCGATGGTCTCCCGATCGCGCGGATTTTCTCACGAAACCGCGAGCGTGCGAATGGACCGCTCAATCGCCTCGTTGGATAAGATTCGTTTAAAATCAACGTACACATCGTGCGTCCTTTCAAAACCTCATCATCTACACACGCAACTGTAGCAGCACAATCTCTCCGAATCCAGCTCTAATCAATCCTCGTTTCGTTATCGCAATCGCCAATAAATATGTAAAGGTACCTGTACATACAACAACAACGAAAATCACAATAATCCCGATTTTGCGCAATTCGACCTTGCACCGCACAAACAGTTTGAGAAAAGTGCCGTTGTTGCTGCTGCTAAGATGCCAACGCGCTAAACGTGGGTGCGTTCGCTTGTAAAAATCGAGCTCAAGATCTCAATTACCCCCACACCAACTACGGTGGCGTGTGTCGCTTAATATATATCATCTCGTTCCCGTGTATACATATAAACGAACAAAGGTCGCGTTTGTATAAGATGTAACAATACATATGACATATATTATACTATGCCTCCTGTACACCGGTGTGCAATGACAAAGCACCGCGAATCGGTGGATCGTCAGAGGCGAAAGGCACAAGATTGTGCGAAAATTGTGTGTGCCCCTTGTAAAATATATACACGCGGAAGGATGCCTTAGGCCCTCCACTATACTCGTATACACCGGCACTGCACTTTTTTTCCTTCCAAGACGAATATTTGTCCATCAGTGTTTGGATATATGTGTGTGTGTGTGTTGTAATAGGCATACTGACTCACTCATACTTTGCATACGGAGAATTTACGAAAGAACGAGCGCGGGCGTCCACCCGGAGGCCTTCTTTCTTTTTTTTTTCTTTTTTTTTTTTTTACTCGTCTTCTTCCTTGTAAAAAATACCCGTGGAACGTGTGTCTGCGAGTTTATCTCTCTCCTACGTAAATCCCAGCTGATGGGTTATTGGCTGACGATGACGCGTCCCGACCTCATATATTATATACCACCTATTATACCGATGGTCCATTTCAATGTTACATTTTAGTAAACGATTTGTGGGCACATTTTTAAATATGAAAACCCTTGAATTTTCTCTGTGTATACCCAAGAGACCTGCATCACACGTATACAATACGATTCACTATCTTCCGAACCGATGTCCTTCTCAGCCATGTACACATACGGAGCAACTTTCAATTAATTCAATCATCGATAGTCCGACACACTACAGTAAATAAAGTTTCATCCGGAAGTGAACAATATATATTATTATCTTGTGACACGATAAAAAAAAAAAAAAAAAATCCAACCCTCTATCAGTGTACAACGTTTATATATTACACTTTTGCGCAATAGCCGCTAGGTGATAATTAACGCTTATCGGAGAAAGTTTAGGTACACTCGATCCTCCCCTCCCTTCCCTCCATCAAAGTATCCATCAATAACGATCTGAACAATTGAAGCGCTCTCGTATACACGATATCTTATCTATTTCGCGTTGTACTCTTTACTTCTCCGTTTCGCTAGTGTTTGGTTCATTGGCAGCATCATTAGGTATATAAGTATATATACATTGCAAAAAAGGAGGATGGGAGGAAACAATTGCTATCGTCGTGTTATTGTCGCTTTACCGTGGAAAGTTTGTCGAGGGAACCTGTACTATCCGTCTTTTCCGGGTGGAACTTCCTATTTTTATACGTAAGTATATACATGTACTACCGATAGTGCAGCTAAATGTTGTAACTCACGCGAGTCAAGTGTATAAATCAGTCGATGGCCCCCCTCGCCCGTGTTATGTTTGTTCATATGCACATGGCAGAGCTTGGTAGCCGATACCATGCACTGCCATGCTTTCTCTCTTTTCATCTCGTTTAAAATTTATATATATATATCAGATCTGTGTGTGTGTGTGTGGGTGCGCGAGAGAAGACAATGAGAACGTAACGGTATCTCGGCGGCGGTAGCGGCGAAAAAAAAAAGGAGTCTGGGCATCGGTCGGTGCTCGCACGTATATACATGTATGTTGTACACCTACTTCCAGGGCAGAGTTTCCAGGTCAGCCGGGCTGGGATTATTGTTATATATTCCTTGGCTCCCTCGTCTTTTATCGAAGGGACTGCACACACAAGTGAGCTCGGCTGTCGCAATCGCGGCCTCGTAAACTTTTCTTTGTACTCGCCCAATTTTTTTTTTCTTTTCTCTATAGACTCGGGCGCTCTCTCCTCCGTGACTTTTCACTGAAACTATAAATATGTAGGCTACAGTGCTACACGAGCGCGTACAATATAATGTACGATGATCGATGCGTGCCACTTTTTTTCCACTGCAATTGGAGATTGCGGCCGATGGGGCAACTTTTCCGTACCCTCATATGGAGCGTATCGTCAAAGTTTGCGTAAAAAAAAGGTTTCACTGCTAAGATCTTTGTTTAAAAAAAAAAACATAGAAAATGCCTACCAAACTCTACAGAGCTCGGGTGCAAGACTTGTAAAAAAAAAAAAATGAGATCAAGTAGTCCGCACAATCGGAGCACTTTTGGTCTATTTTTCCCCATTATTTTTACGATAATGGCGGCCCCGTTAAAAAAAAATAATATTCACCCACGAGGCATCGTCGTAAGACACTTTCCACCTCGAAACTAATATTTATACGTGGAGAGGCTTTTCTATTTTCGCGGCGCGAGTTTATGCATGTACCATTCCCGACGAAGAAACACTTGGCTCGAGGGAATTTTTCGCCCAAAGAGCCGCGCTGCTTTTTTTTTACACGCCGCTCGTGCAAAACTCGCTTTCGTATACGTCTGGGAAAATTCCCTTGACGTGCGTTCGGTCGAAAAATCTCGCCGCTTATTCAACGATCTGGAAGAAGGAGAAAAAAAAAAATTCCCATTGTACCCCAAAAGCATCACAGCTTTGCGTGTAATTAGTTTAAACACAGCCAGATTAAAATGATCCACTTTATCCGAGTACACGCTTCCTCCTTCTCCTCCTCTTCTTCTCATTTCTCGTTACATAAATAAACTCCCAAAAGCCCGCAATTAAGGTACACCTTACATCACGAGATATTATATATATATAGGTACACGCGATCTAAAATAACCCCCCACCCCTTTGCCCAATATCTCGATTCCGAAGCTATAATAAATTACGTAAAAGTTCGCCGCCTCGTAACTACAATAGGCGCACGTGAAAAGCAAAAAGGACGAATACGTTTTCCCGTAATCTCGAAACACGTACTCGTATACGCCCATATAATATATATACATACACACCCGCGTACATGCATTTATATATATATATATTATTAAGTGTGACCCGGCGCGATCCCGCGCTCTTATAATTGGAATAAAACACTTGTACGAGAGCAAACTGCGCGTCAAGCACATAATAATATAATGTATACCTATACATCGTTTCGAGCAATTGTGTCGACACCGACGCTAACCGAGAATAGATTCGTTCGACGCCCACTGCCCGAGTGGTACAGAGGTACAATTGCAGTGTAGGCTTTCCCTTCGCGCCGAGAGATATCTGGATTTTTTTTTCGACAACGCCTTTATAACCGCTTGAATTATACACAACTGTAAAGGTGCAACGTTTTTGCTGTCTAATCGTCTACACGGCACCAATTACGTACATGTTTGATGCTGGACCTTTTACGGCTTCTCGTGGCAGTCCTTGCGACGTGTTGGACGCGCATACACTTTATGGTCATACCAAAGCCTCGTCTACTATACGCGTCTAATCGAATTTTGATATGTAAGCGTTGCTCCGAGTGCACATCGTACATTGTCACATATGGTGTTTAAATTTAATATCATTTTGGTTGATATTTGCTTGATGTTGTTCCATAGTTTTTAAAAGACATCCTTTCCGTTGGCTGGTACCACGAACTGGTACCGCTAAATTCGTTAGAGAACAGTTGTCGCTCAATAAAATTACTCATATCCAATCGTGATTAAAATCATAGGCATGGATCACATCAGCGAAGAATTTTTTGCAAACATTTCTTTTTACTCCCAATTAGCTAGTTTGGCGCATAGTTAATAGAATAATAATGCATCCTCAGTACCTGGTAGTCTATATATTATACACAAGTGTGTCAAGGTGCGATGGGGGGTGGGGACCCATAATATATGAGATTTTCATAGCTAAACTCCTCCTTCGCCAAAAGCTATGATAAACGTTTATAGGTACAAGCTCCGTTGTTACGGAAGCCCATTTACCCCTGCCCCAACACCCACAACCAAAAATACAGAACTTTCCAGGCCAAGCAAATCGCACTGTTTCGTCCAAAATTCAATATCGCCCCGAGGCGCGTGAGCGCATTAAATTTTCAAAATAAGGTCATCCCAAGGCACACACGTACATGCACGCAACAACGGTATAGCCCCCGAGACTGCGGCAAAAACACGTACGCGTACACACACGTTATACCCCGTCTGCCTGTCCCATTTTAGTGTACATATATGTATATCGAAACGGATCCCCGGAGACACCTCGGCTGGACGCATTCCTTGGATTCCCGCAGCAAAGCTCGTTCGAGCTCCCTGAAATGGGCGTCGGCCCGAGAAACGGAGCGCAAAATAAAAGTGCCCACTATAGAGAGAAGAATTGTCGTACACGTATACGTAAGCCTATATATAAATCCAGACCGAAAGTACCTTATACATATAAGTACTCTCGAACAAAAAGATTTGCGCGGAGGCCGTATAGCGCATACAGAGACACCTTGCACCACCGGGTCTGTATAATGTATATTGCACCGCGAGATCTGTCGGAGACAGTCGTCGGGCATTAAATTGGCCCGAGAAGGGGTTGCACCACACCGTTGGGCTTAGGCGTCCGCCCTCTTCTCTGTGCCCCTCTGAAATGTTTCCAAGTGGTTATATG